TTTATAAATTCATATGATGTGATTTTCTGGAATTTTCTTTGGGATTCTGTCTTTCACTGTTAGAATGTACATATGATTAAAGTTATAGATCGTTGCATTCTTTGTAAGTGGGCAAACCTGCAAAATCAACAAGGGCTCAAATACTTATTTTCCTCACTGTAGATGGTCGCTTTCGGTCTTCTACTGGAGATTGAGGATGGTTGTATCTCAGTGGTCTAATTCTGGCCCTTTCCATACTTTCCCCCATGCCAAGTTAGCTCCTAAATGTGGGCACTTAGGTCTGGACTCCCTCCCACCACAAACTGTACTCTCATTTCCTCTTAAGGTACACAAGTCAAAGAACCTGGAGCTTTTTTCCGCTACTGGAAATAAGCTTTTCCCCTCCATTTTTCATATATGGCTCATTTAGTCATCAGGGCGGTTAGAATGTTAATTTCCTCGTCATGCATCTTAGCTGGGGTTCATATTCCAGTGAAACACTATAGAGCCCTAATTGAGTTGAGCTAATTGCAGCCATATATGATTTCTTTATCATTTTAGTCAGGTATTTGTCATGTTATTTAGCTTATAGGGCCCCACCCTCCTCAGTGGTTTGGTGCACTTATCCCCCTTACATACTTGCACTTATTAGGTTAGCGTAACTTCAAATTTAGTTAAGGTATTAGCTTGTTTAACGTCTTTGAACTGTCATTCAAAGCCCTGGCTTCCTTTCACTCAGGTGGTCCAGACAATCTAAATTTCCTTGTCTGTCAGAAAGTGGTGGGAAGTAACGAAGTACAAGTACTTCGTTACTGTACTTAAGTACAATTTCTGTGTATCTGTACTTTACTTAAGTAGATTTAATAATGGATACTTTCTACTTTTACTCCACTACATTTAACAGTAAGTATCTGTACTTTCTACTTCACTACATTTCTATACAGCGTTTCGTTACTCGTTACATCCAAGACGCATTTCGGTTTTTTGATTTGTTCGTTAGTTTTGATTTGTTCGTAACTTTAAAGTATCCAATGGCGAGAGCAGAATTAGTCCGCTGAACCAATCCAAAGCGGGAAATAACCATTAGGCCCTCCCTCAAGAAGAGCAGCACAGTACCAGGACCTGCATAAAAAATATCTAAATCTAAACTGTCACAGGGGGTAAACACAATTAAAACATGCTTTATCTGCAGCATTGCTCATTAAAACGGTACATTACTGATTTATTAAAACTAAATACGATAAGTACACTTAATGACATTATATAAGCCGTTAGGTGTTATGGTTGGCAAGTACTTTTACTTTTAATACTTAAGTAGTTTTGAAAGCTTGTACTTTCTTACTTTTACTTAAGTAAAATAATAATGTGGTACTTTTACTTTTAATACTTAAGTAGTTTTAAAAGCTTGTACTTTCTTACTTTTACTTAAGTAAAATAATAATGTGGTACTTTTACTTTTAATACTTAAGTAGTTTTAAAAGCTTGTACTTTCTTACTTTTACTTAAGTAAAATAATAATGTGGTACTTTTACTTTTAATACTTAAGTAGTTTTAAAAGCTTGTACTTTCTTACTTTTACTTAAGTAAAATAATAATGTGGTACTTTTACTTTTAATACTTAAGTAGTTTTAAAAGCTTGTACTTTCTTACTTTTACTTAAGTAAAATAATAATGTGGTACTTTGACTTTTGCTTGAGTAAATTTTTGTCTGTGTATTTGTACTTTTACTTAAGTACATTGTATGAGTACTTTCTCCACCGCTGCCGACGGGAGGCGGTGAGAGGCTGCCGTTGTCGGGGGTAACGCAGAACCTCGGTTCCCCGCCTGTTCTAGGAGGTGGTGACCATCGTGGTGTTCGGGGTGGAGTACATGGTGAGGATCTGGGCCGCGGGGTGCTGCTGCCGCTACCGCGGGTGGAGGGGAAGACTCAAGTTCGCCAGGAAGCCATTTTGTGTCATCGGTAAGTCTTAAAGATGGCCGACGTCCAGCCAGAAGTCCAGGGATTCAGAGGGCTGTCGCTTCCCTTTAAGGTGTTGGGGTGTTTTGGGTATTTATGTTTTTTGGGTGTTTAAGGTTTTTGGGTATTTATGGTTTAGGGGTGTTTAAGGTTTTTGGTGTTTGTGGTTTTGGGTGTTTATGGTGTTTAAGGTTTTGGGTATTTATGGTTTTGGGGTGTTTAAAGTTTTGTGTGTGTCTAAGGTTTTGGGTATTTATGGTTTTTGGTATTTATGGTTTTTGGCTATTTATGGTTTTGGGGTGTTTAAGGTTTGGGGGATTTATGGTTTTGGGGTTTTTATGGCTTTAGGGTGTGTAGGGTTTTGGGTATTTATGGTTTTGGGTAGTTTAAGGTTTTGGGTATTTATGGTTTTGGGGTGTGTAAGGTTTTGGGTATTTATGGTTTTGGGGTGTTTAAAGTTTTGGATGTTCAATGTCTTGGGTATTTATAGTTTTTAGGTGTTTAAGGTTTTGGGTATTTATGGTTTTGGGGTGTTTAAAGTTTTGGTGTGTGTAAGGTTTTGGGTATTTATGGTTTTGGGTATTTATGGTTTTAGGATGTGTAAGGTTTGGGGTATTTATGGTTTTGGGGTGTTTTAAGTTTTGGGTATTTATAGTTTTGGGGTGCTTAAAGTTTTGGGTGTTTAAGGTTTTGGGTATTTATGGTTTTTGGGTATTTATGGTTTTGGGGTGCTTTAAGTTTTGGGTGTTTAAGGTTTTGGGGTGTTTAATGTTTTTCTGGTATTTATGGTTTTGGGATGTTTAAAGGTTTTGGGTATATATAGTTTTGGCTTGCTTAAAGTTTTGTGTATTTATGGTTTTGGCGTGCTTAAAGTTTGGGGTATTTATGATTTTGGGGTGCTTAAATGTTTTGGTTATTAATGGTTTTGGGTATTAATGGTTTTGGGTATTAATGGTTTTGGGTATTTATGTTTTTGTGGTATTTATGGTTTTGGCGTGCTTAAAGTTTGGGGTATTTATGATTTTGGGGCGCTTAAATGTTTTGGTTATTAATGGTTTTGGGTATTAATGGTTTTGGGTATTTATGTTTTTTGGGTATTTATAGTTTTGGGGTGCTAAAAGTTTTTGGGTGCAGTTCTTTGCTGCTGAGGCTGCTGAAGGTTCTTTAGGTTGGGAGCTGCTGGTTCCTTCCAGCTGAAACCTCCTCCACCACACACACACACACACACACACACACACACACACACACACACACACACACACACTCAGGCTTTAACTTTTTTCTCTTGTGCCTAAACAGACATCATGGTCCTGATCGCCTCCATCTCGGTGCTGGCGGCGGGGACCCAGGGGAACGTGTTCGCCACGTCGGCCATCAGATCGCTGCGGTTCCTGCAGATCCTGAGGATGATCCGGATGGACCGGAGGGGAGGAACCTGGAAGCTGCTGGGATCAGTGGTGTACGCCCACAGCAAGGTAACACACACAGGGACACACACAGACACACACAGAGACACAGGGACACACAGAGACACACACAGACACACAGAGACACACACACAGGGACACAGAGACACACACACAGAGGCACACACAGAGACACACAGAGAGAAACAGAAACACACAGAAACACACATAGACATACACACAGACACACAGAGACACACACATAGACACACAAACAGACACACAGAGGCACACACATAGACACACAAACAGACACACAGAGACACACACATAGACACACACATAGACACACAAACAGACACACAGAGATACACACAGAGACGCACAAACAGACACACAGA